TCTCCCCCTTCTCGAACATTCGACAGCTGACAGTGCATGCGCCGTCGCGCTGTATATATACTCAAGGTCGGTGCTCGCTCGCTCAGTTGCCGCTCGTCGGTTGGTTTGTACGGCGCGTCGACGTCCGAGGTCGCAATGATCGACGTCCCTTCGACCAGCGCCGGCCAAAGTGTTGGCGGAACCGCAACCAAGTCGTCGTCCGAAGACAAGGCAGCGCGGAGAAGAGCTCGCGACGCCGAACGTAAACGTCGGCGTCGAGCGGAAGATGCTCAACTTAGAGAACGTGAAGCCGCTGAGAGACGTCAGCGTCGAGCAGCAGCACCGGATTCGGCCGCTTTGAAACGTAAGCGTCGACAAGAGGACCCGGACTTTCGAAAACGGGAAGCCGAGTGCAAGCGTCGGCGACGAGAGGCCGATCCCGATGCTGCCCGCGAGCGCAAGCGCGCCGAGGTAGCGGCGTGGCGCGCCAAGCAGTATGCCACGCCCAACGCTCGCTTCAAGCGCGACTTCCTCGACCGAAGCTTCGGCCACACCTGCAAGGTCTGTGATCGTCTTTGGTTCGATAACAACTTAACTCGGATCGGCAACATTCAGAACAACTCCAAAGCGTTGTCGGTTCTTTGCGATACGTTTGGAAAGGGCACCGACTATGCCGACTACGTCGTGTGTGCTACGTGCAAGCAGTCGTTGATTGCCGGTCGAGTTGCCTCGGCTAGCGTGAGTTACGCTCCGCATCCTCCTCAGTGCTCCCCCGAGGGAAGCTGCGGGCAATTTTTTTTTTTTGCCTCTGCCCACTCGAAGATCGTTAAACCAGGCACTTCACCTCTCACCATTATCAAAAGTAAATCTGCAGGCTTCACTTCGGGGGGGGGGGGGGGGGGGGGGGGGGGGGGGGGGGTGAGAGTGGTCATGTTGTAAGAAGGAAAAGAAAAGAAAAGCGAGCCCCGTAACTGTCTGCTTCAGGGAGCGACACCTCAACAGTAGCTCACAAGGGATGGGGGTGAGGAGGGATTAAAAGGAAAGGAATAAAGGTGTAGAGAGAGAGAAAGAGAGATGAAGTAAGCGTGAGAGCGACGACATATCGAGGGGATAGGAGAGATATGAAAGATGGGAACACGGTCACAGGAGTCCGAGGACGGGGCACCACTTGCGAGAGCTCTTGTCGGCGTCAGAAGATAGCGTAGAGCAAGTCCAGTCTGTCAGAGCTACACTGTCGTCGGAGGTCGGCGTCAGGATATGATGTAGGCCGAGGCCAGTCGGCCAGAGCTACGCTGACGTCAGAGATCGCGAGGGCACAACCGGTCGGCACGGAATCCAGCGAGCCAGGCTTCGCTTCGTAGCAATGCTTTCTTGTCGCATGACCGCTTATCGACCCTCGCTTATCCTCCTCACCCGATACAGAGGGAAACAGGGTCGTCATTGCGGGTGTTTTCGAGGTGAATGGTAGAGGCGCTGTTTGGTGCGTCGCTTACGGTATTGATTGATATCAGGTTTTAACGTCGCAAAACCACCATAAGATTACGAGAGACGCCGTAGTGGAGGGCTCCAGAAATTTCGACCACCAGGGGTTCTTTGACGTGCACCCAAATCGGACCACACGGGCCTACAGCATTTCCCCCTCCATCGGAAGTGCAGTCGCCGAATCCGGGATTCGATCCCCCGACCTGCGGGTCAGCAGCCGGGTACCTTAGCATAGACCAACGCGGCGGCGCGCTTTCGGTATCGCCTGCTCAATTAGCCAGATTTCATCGCCTCACGGTGATTACCAGTGGCCACCTTTCAGAAATTTCGAAGTGGCTACAGACTATTCGCAGGAAGGACTTGAATTGGCCCATTTGACTCGACCACTTCTTTCAACTGGTTAAAAAGTGGCAATTTTTATAACTACTGCCGTAATTATTGTTTGTATGCATCTGAGAATGCGCCTTCTGTCACAGTAAATGTAACGCTGCAGGTAGGACGCAGACATATATATACCTCTTTTCTGTAATTTTTCAACGATAGTGGGCGCATTTCTTGAAACACCCTATATATATATATATATATATATATATATATATATATATATATATATATATATATATATATATATATATATATATATATATATATATATGTTGACTGAAGTGTTGAACGCATTTCGTTGTTAGTCATCACCTGAGCTCCACCTCCTTTTTTGGCCATCTATTAAATGCGAAGCATTTATTTGCGTACTGCAGGCGCATTTAGCGTGTCTGTCTACGTCTATGAAGCCGCCTACGTCTAGGGGCTCTCGTGAGCAGCCCTTTACCTTGGGGCAAACCAAAATTAGTATGGGAGAGTAAGATGGTTTGACGAATATAAGTCGCAGGATATGACACGAATTATGTGACAATCCCATTGAGTACGTCGTCAAACCCTTTCCGACAGACGTGTGACACGTACCCGCCCGTACGTGCATTTATTTGCCACAGGTATTCGGCTATGGGCTATAGGTGATTGACAGTTTACCAAGGAACGGGCACCATTTACCTTACGAGTACAAAGATTAAATGTAAGGGTCCAAGCAGGTATGCAACCCAAGCATTATGCGTGGTAATCAAGTATTCTACCACACAGCCGCTCGAGGTCTAGAAATTACTATTGAAAAACACCTTATGCCGGCGTAACGTTGCTGAAATGTGAATTGTGGTTGCAGTGCTGTCTACCTAATTTTATGAACGTTGCGTATGTACTCATGTGACGCAACCGTCAAGTCGGGTTAACGTCAATTGGAGTTATGTGCCATTCACTGAACTTCAAGTTACCGGCTCTTGCGTAATCGCCTTGAAAGGGGAAGGAGTCGCAATCTGACCACTGGTTCCACATCAGCAACGAATGGTCGTTTTACTCGCCGCGAGATGGCGCAAATGGAGGCCTTGGTTGCATAGAGTTTCCCAAAATTAACTAGAGGGCACTCTGGTGCTGCGATCGTTCAGCGGCCATGGGAATGATGGGTAGTACACACATTTGCCTAGTCTTCGTACTTGTGGGCGGCGAATCATACTCGCGGCTTCGTTTATTACTGGTTACGGTTTTGTTTTGAAAAAAAGAACAAACCCTTTTGAACTTGGGTACTTGATTCAAAATAGTAAGCTTAAAAAAAATAAGGTTGTGAAGCGCAAACGATGAACATTTGCTAATTTATGCTTTCATGAAAAAAACAGCTCCAAGCCACACGAACACACACGGAGGCAGAAGCAGGCCAGAAGTACGAAAATTAGACAAATGTGTGTACTACCCATCATTCCCATGCTCGCTGAAGCGCCGTGTGTTGCAACTCCCATAGACACTAGCGCCAGAGTTCCCTCTATTAAGTATTGTGAGAAACTCTGCTTGGTTGCTCTCGCTCCCGCTTCAACTCGCTGCCAGCCGCCACGCGCCCCCGTGTTCCCTTTCATGAAAAGTGACCCTGCACAACTGTGCTTCCGTACTATGGTGTCATTATGATGCCGTGCAGGCTGACGGGTTCATCTTGCACCTTAGGAACGCGGCAGTTTGTCTTTGCAAATATTAGCGCAGCGGTGCATATATCAGTGTGTTTAGCAAAGGTGGTTTACGATTTATAGTACTTGGTACTTCACTACGGGTGAGCTTAAAGCCAAATCGAGCTGGAATACGGGTGTTTAGAAAAGAATCTTGTATGAACTTTAGTATTGCCAACAGCGGCGAAGCTGCAGAAATGCACTCTTCTAAGTTGCGCGGATTACATGTTTACTCGTAGGCGCAGTTTTCTACCAAGTGACGCTTTCTCGATTGCGGGTTTGACGCTGACTAGCCTTTTTTTGTATGTAAATCTGATATTTTATCGAGTTCGCTTGTCAGTTGACATTGCCTAACTTCATCGTTGACTGGATATGAACACTCATGACGGCGTTGTTGCCTCTAACAACTCGAGTGTTGAGCTTCTAAACGCGGAGATGATGGTACAATTCCTGGCATGGAAGAAAAAAAATCAACAACATATCTACGAAATGAATGACGGTGAGTGGGGCGAAGCATCCGTCAGTTCATCCGTGCTTCCGTTTGTCCGTTCGTTCTTACTTCCGTGCTTCCATCCATGCATTCATTTGACCGTCCGTGCGCCCTCTGTCCGTTCATCTGTCCGTACGTGGGTCCATCTATTCGTCTGTACCTGTGTCTGTCTGTCCGTCCGCTCGTGCGTCTGCACATCTAGTGAACAATCCGAGTACCGCCATCTCGCATCTTTTCATCATATATTCATCATATACAAGTACCTCCATCTAGCGGACATTCCAAGGACTAAATGAGGGGTTGATTGATTGATATGTGGGATTTAACGTCCCAAAACCACTATATGATTATGAGAGACGCCGTAGTGGAGGGCTCCGGAAATTTAGACCACCTGGGGTTCTTTAACGTGCACCCAAATCTGAGCACACGGGCCTACAACATTTCCGCCTCCATCGGAAATGCCCGGCTGCGGCGGCTGCATGAGGGGTGGCTACCTACAGCTACCTAAATGAGGGGTGGCTACCTACTACTACTACTACTACTACTACTACTACTACTACTACTACTACTACTACTACTACATCGGGGACGCACGTCCCACGGCTTAAGGAGCTTCCCCCTAAAAAGTCTAGAGGGAGTGTTGTGAATATAGATAGATAGATAGATAGATAGATAGATATAGATAGATAGATAGATAGATAGATATAGATAGATAGATAGATAGATAGAAAGAAAGAAAGAAAGAAAGAAGGAAAGAAAGAAAGAAAGAAAGAAAGAAAGAAAGAAAGAAAGAAAGAAAGAAAGAAAGAAAGAAAGAAAGAAAGAAAGTTAGGCACGCAGACGTCAAGCTTCGCTCACCCCGATTTTTGCTGTAGAGTGGGGGAATTCCCGAGTTTCTCATTCACCCGTGTCTACAATTACTACAGTGCTAGTGTAAGCTATGCTACTTTTAATACTATGACGAACTAACGGCCGCATTTTGTTTTTCTGTATCCTGTCACATGCAGCCCATGGTTCATCCCTGTCCTTGGTCTCCACAAACTCGTCGCTGTACTCAACGGTAAGTACTATATATCGGTATTCGCATCGCCCGCGTAATGTCCTCTAAGATTGACTTTCGTGGACACAACTTGCATGTCAAGCGCTTAATGAAACGTATAATGTGAACAAAAAAGTTTGTTACCTGAAGTAACTGAAACACAGCTTCAACGTACGCGTACTAGATGGTAAGCTCCATATGAAATGTTAGCGCGGAATTTCGAAACGTTTATTCTGCAGTTACTCTCTTTTCACGATCTCTGAACAGCAATTTTTCAGCACTGCTGCCAGCGAACAACATGACGTTCATAGGTCATTGCGTTGTTATTTAGACTAGCGCAGCGCAACGTAAATCTATAAAATTTAGAAATATGGGCGAAAGACCCTTCTCGGAGTCCTTTCTGCTCTCAATTTTTACTTTGACTGAGGATGCTTTTGTCTGAGTACTTGGCACCTCAGAAGACCGCGAATGAAAAATTGAGCTAGTGGCGCAATCGTTTGTGGATTCACACTCATGGTGTCAAACATAGTCACCAGGGCTCAGTGGTTGGGAAATAAGAAAAATGGCTTTTTTATTCCTTCTGCTGACTAGAGTGCGCAAAATCTGCAACAGCGTGTTACTCGGCTGTGTGGGAAGTCCTCGAAACAATGCCGTGTTTTCGTCTCGGAAACGGCGTTTAACAACCTCCGCTTATTCGCGTCGGCGTTACCCGTGACTTCTGTAAGTGTCCATGACTTCTGTCAGGCGTCCTCACCCGTTTGGGGCCCAACTCCGAAAAAAATGCCTCACAGGTGCGGTTGATCGCAATAGGGATAATTGAAAAAAAATCCCAATAATTAGCAGTTTGCAATTTGTTTCCGAGTTCCTATAGGGGAAATGGCATGTAATGGTGTCAAGTGACGCTGCCAATATCGCAAGGATTGACCGAAATTCAGGGTTCAAAATGATCGTTTTAGCCGTATACGAAAAATACGCAGCTCTGTCGGGACGTTGGTCGGGAAGAAAGCAAGAAGTGCATCATCCGGAATAAAATGTATTATATCTGATGTTATTAACAAGACACCTCTGCATGCTCATGAGATACACGGCTGTCCTGTGACCCAATACTGTGTACTGCAGATTCTTGTTCTGCGCACTGCATTAGCTTTGTTTGATTGCACTTGCATTTTGATTCACATGATGCTGGTTGCCGCGAGGTGTCACTTCATTAACTTCTGCAAGATTGATTGAAATGAGATGACGTGTGAGCAAGTAGTGCATGCTATTGCTAGAAACAGAGAAACACTCTCACTTCAAATAGCCGCCACAGCACGAGGTTATGCACTGACACCCTTATCACTAAACTGTACGCATTACAAGAGATGTGTTTATCATATTGCACGAAGCTTTGATATGTTGCAGATTTAAGTGGTGGCGGCATAGCTATAGTGCATATCTTTGGGCCAGCGAGTGTACGGAAATGTGGGTGTACACACAAGCAACTTTACGACTACATTGCGTTACTGACGTTTTCACAAAAGCTGTCACAGATCCTAAGGTAACTTTCTTCGGTGCAGAAACGACGTTACTTTTGACGTTTCAACAGCTCAGCCATTCAAGCCTGCCGTAATCTCAACAATGTGAACGAAGTTCCTCCGAGCCGCGATGACGTCACGTCATGCTGCCTAGCAACAGGTTGCACAACTGTGAGCCTCCTTGGCTAGCTCACACGCTGCGCTGCTCCGCCACCAGCCTGTCTGCCTCGACACTACACGCAAGCGCTCGGTCGCGACAAATGCGCGTCACAGCCAACTGCGCATGCGCCTCTTTGTTCTCTATAAAGCCGGACGCGGAAATTCGGAGACCGGAGAAAGTTCGCACTGGCGATTAGGAAACCGCTTGGTGGGACGCAGCGCGCTGTTCAGCGAGACTGCTGGACTCTTTCAATGTAGTCCACGACGTTACTATTACACAAGTCGAAACGGCGAGGGGGACTATACTGGACTCGACAGAAACTCGGCATCAGGGGCGTAGGCGAAAATGTTTTGTTTCTGCGTGTGTGTGAAGGGCGAGGGGGGCGAGGCACTTCCTTGATTTTGAGAATGGAACACCTCCTGGAAATCGTCATCTTGTTTTCTGTATGCCAAGTCGAAAAAAAATTCGGGGGCGGCGTGGCATGGGACCTCCCCACGCCACTGCTTGGCATCACTTTTTTATCACCAGGACAACTAGGAACTGATAAACTCCGCAGTACATATCGCCTTGCGCCACTGTAGTGCAAGCTATGTCTGCCTTTTATTTTTTGTATAAATAACAGGTATAAATAAACAAAGAATGGAGCGATACAAGCTCCTATAAACACTCGCGTTTCTCTAATTAGCCGGGGGTATAGGGAACGGAGACCTTCTTTCTACGGAGTGGCCGGGTGCGCGCTATGAGAAAAGTGGTCTTCCTTTGTGCGCTCTATTTGCCTGGCGACGCCCGTTCTGATCGACCACGAACTCCTGAATCGAAGCGTGACTCAGACGTCTTTGCACCGGCCGGCGCTGAATCAATAAAGCCTCCTCGCGACGGCCGCTTGCTTCGTCGGCCTTGGTGTCGCATTAGAAGGCGGCTAATTAGACAGCGTGAAAGAGCTGGTAACCACTAGCACTTTGATATTAGCGTCCATTCGGAGTGTGTATCAATAGCGCTCAATGGATCGTATTACTCGCTTCCTTCGAATGTCGGCCTTAGAAGTAACAAAGCGAACACCCACACACACTATCCAGACTACCTGCAAATGTGACTAAATATATGTACGAAGAGAACTTGTTCTAGGTAATATTGTTAGGACGCAACTGTGTAAATGTGGAAAGGATCACGCGTCCTGTTTAAATACAACTCTGTCATAATGAGTCGATAACAAGTAGTTCAGTTTGGAACCGTTCTAAATTTCGCATTTATTAGTTGCTCCATGTGTTCGTACTGAACAACGATCTCAAGGGGATGGTTCTATGAGGAATGTCTAGCTAGAATGGTGGCACGAGGAGTCTTTTAAATGCGTTTTCACCAGTGAAATAGTTTGGGGGCTTCGTAAGCTCATCTCTGCTGCCTCATCTGCCGTTACCGTTTATCGGCAAAAATATCTTCGTTGCGTAAGTTTGGACGCAGTGCAACATTCTGATCAGCTGCATGCAACGGTGCCATTTTATTGTCGAGTCGATGATGGCAACTACTGAAAAAAACCGACACCGTCGTGCCGACATGCAATTCTTAAATATATTGACTTTGAAATACGTCTTTTTGATAGGCGGCAGCTTTAATCAGTTCAGAAGTCTGAAGAGAGAGATCGAAGCATGGTCCTGGTTGCGATAACTGCAATGCCTAGAGGTGAAGTACTAGGAGATTAGAAAGATCAAAATGTAAAACAGAGAAATACACAAATAGGCACATACATGCAACCATAGCTGCTAACATCGCCCCCTCCCCTTTTTTTTTTCACCCACCCGGTGTAATGGGTTGAAAATAGAGCATGGTTATCATTAGCCACAGTACCTTAACTTTTGTTATGCTAGTAAACCGGTATAAATCACGACGCGAGCCCAGTGCTTGAACCGGCGCCATTGCAGCCGCTACGTAAAAAAAAAAAAAGTCACAGCTTTGCCGCAAAGGCGAAGCAATGAACGCAATAGCAACAAATTGGAAGGTCACGCGCAAAATGGCAAGCAGATCTAAACGTGCCCCGTGTTTCTCACGCACAAAGGACGCTCAAAACGTACTCACATGTACAGATGAACGCGAATACGGGTCTGAGTTTTTACTTCGCCGTGTTGGAAAAGCGCGCCCTTTTCGCAAACGAAGGCTGTGCAACGATTGCAGTGACCTTTGTACGCCCGGTAACTACAACAGAATTGTTCCGACGAAACTCAAAGGCTAGCCAAGACGTACGGTTTCCCACACTGCATGATAAGGGTGCGCGAATGCGCGTACACCCCCTTTTTCTCTACGTGGGTGAAAGTGCGCGTGAGAGATGAGGGCCGCCGCGCGCTCACTACGCCAGCTTGCTGATAATGCTGAAACCACGATAACTCCCCCGCCCCCCGAGATTCCCACCAACAGCATTAAGTGGTAGATATGAATAGCTTGCCGTTTGAACGTTGAAGGTAGTACCTCTCAGTGGCTCAGTGGTTAACGCCTCGCGTTCGCGACGCGGAGGTCGCACGTTGGATTCCGTGTGCCGAAATCTTTGTTCTGGGATTTTCTTTTCTTGCGTTTTTATATATATAAATACGTATACATATACGGTGCATGTCATCGACGCCGACGTCCACGTCAACGCCGACGCTGGCGGCGAAATTCAGCCGAGATTGTCCATATACTTGCTATCGCAATAAAATAAAAGAGAAACAACGGCACAAATTTGTTGGAGCAAGAACAGTGACTCCCAGTTGTCGTTTCGGCTACCAGCTCGTCGGATAGAGCTACATGAGACGCCCACTGATACGACAGGACGCGCATGTGCACCGCAGCAGGTGTCTCGTCGGCAGATAGCGTATATTGATGCCTTCGTCCTCGCGATCCCGTGGTTTGCACACTTACGCTGACGCCTGTACAAAGGTTGTACGCACCAACATATGTCGAACAGTTGCAGGTGTTTATATACCCAGTTGCTTGCACTTGCGCAATGATGCCAACAGCAACATGAGTGTTAGCAACACCAGAAGCGATAAGCTGATATGAAGTGCTGGTGCTCAAGAGGATGGTAGCTTTGGACCCTGCTACATAAACCAACTTCAATTTATATGTGGGGCTTAACGTCCCGAAACCACCATATGCTTACGAGAGACGCCATAGTGGAGGGCTCCAGTTCAGTTCAGTTCAGTTCAGTTTATTACCTTAAAGGCCCCCCTTTCTAGGAGAGGCATTACATGAGGGGTGGGGTTTTATTTAGGTTAACAATAAGCAGTAAAAGTTGTTTTAGCATTGAAGATGATCAATAATACGGTCTTGAAAGGCAGATGATGAGGCAGAAATTACGACCACCTAGAGTTCTTTAACGT